TTATACTACAAAAATCTTAATTTTTTATGCATTTGCCATCTAAACAAACGCCTGAGCCTAAAGTAATTTGTCGGTCCAGACAAAAACATTGTGTTTGCACAGACATGAATAAATGAATACATTTGTTTCGTTGAAAAATAGGATGTTTGATTTATGGCTTTTGAATCAGTTTTTTTAATTTAATTATAAAATAAATTAGAAAAATAACAAAAAAATAAAAAATAGTTATTCCCTACCCGAAATCTGAAGGCTCGCTCTTCACATCCCCCTTACCATCTTGCCATAATAATTTCAAATACGAATATTCAATCAGTGACAATGGAAAATTTGTCAAACAGCTAGATTTGTAACAAAACAATGAGATAGCTCTTTTCTATCTTATTAATTGAGCTGTTTTGACGTAAAAATTTGTGTGTGTGTGTGTGTGTTTTTTTTTTCAAATATCTTAAATTGTTTTATAAACAAACAAGACAGACAACAAAATCCGTAATCCTCCAGACAAAATAGTACTGTGTTTATTTTAGGTCTTATGAAGTGCTTTAAGAAACAATTGGTAAACAACTAAATGATTCATGTTCAAAATATTCTATTTTGAGTTTGACTAATTGAAGTTCTGAAAATAAATAGCTATTGAAGAAAATTATATGAATAAACAAAAAACAATAACAACGCATCACATAATATTTATTGGAAAGTTTTTTTTTTTAGAAGATTGGGATTAATATTTTAAATAGCATTTCAGTTTTGTGATATTCCTTTTTAGAATTGAGGAGGTACTGAATTTGACAATCTCTCATCATTTTCCTACAACCGAATTTTTTTCATATTTCGTATTTGAATATTGTAATGGCTTTGACAAAAGTTGCCTATGCAGATCCACGTTTTCGTAAAGACGTGCTATATTCGGTATTTTTAAGAATTTTTAATGGATTTCATTTTTTGAAAATTTCAAAATTCGTTCCAAATGGTAGGAAGTATTCAAAGTTCGCCCCAGCTGCTTTTTTATTTGTTTTAACTTATCATACCCTTAGACATATAGTTTCATAAAAATAAGGATTTTAAGACTCGCAATATATTCTTCTAGGTCTTTTCATCCAGAATTCGTGGACTTTTTAAAAATATTTAAATTTTTTTTTTTTTTTTTTTTTTTTGAAAATAAATCGATGATTTTTTAAGATGCTATCAGGGGCATTCCGAAAAAAAAAAACATTTCCATGGCATTTTTAAAATCATTTCTAAGGACTTCTCGGCTATTACAAGGAATTTCCGACTGTAAATCGTGATCTTGATTTTGGGGGGAATATGGTCTATAAATCGTAGAATTTTTACGAATATTTTTAATCCATAAATTTTTTAATACATTTTTTTGAAAGATATATAAAACTCGTGAATTTTTAATAAATAATTTTGTTTTTTGGAATTTTCGGGAATATTTTCTAAAAATATTTTTGAAGGCCCTCCCGGACGTATATTTTGCAAGTATAATTATCATGGAATTTTAAGATTTTTTAAGATTATATCTACAACGACTTTTTGGCAAACATCTTGGCTTTTTTTACCTTCAGCCATACAGCTAAAAAGGGTATATATTATTTGATACACCCAAAACGCGCTTCATCGAAATAACGGTTTCAGACATAGAACCCTTTGGACCAAATCCGTTTCAGGACAGTTAGAGTCGCTCTAGGGGTATCCGTTCGTCCGCCTGTATGTCCTGAAGGAATTGTCTGATTTGATCCAGACTTGGTGCATCGTCACTTTAATGTCAAACTTAGATCGAGTTCGGAGATGGACAATATCGGTCCACTGCTTCTGGTACCTCCCCCACAAAGGGTCAGAATTTTGAATAATTATATCTCCTTTCTTATCCTAAAATTTCACATATCCCAATATTTCTCTATTTTTTTTATTTCTATTTCAATAAAATATCTGCGGAGCAGATGGTAGATATCGATTCACTCCTTCTGGACCCCCACAACGGGGTCAACATTTTGAATAGCCATGAATCTCATAAAAAACATCAGATTCAAATTTCACACATTCCCATATTTTTATATTGTTTTTTTTTTTTTTTTTTGGTAACGCAAGACCTGGTGTGAAGATGGAATATATCGGACTACACCTTCTGGTACCTTCACCACAACTAGTAAATATTTTGAATAATTTTTCCTCAAAAAATGTGAAATAAGAATCCGATTCTCTTCAAATTTTACAAATTCCAATATTTCTGCTAAGGTGATGGATATAGGTTCATAGGTTCTGGTACCTCCCCCAAAAAGGGTCATCATTTTCAATACTTATGTCTCTCATAACCTGCGAAGCAAGTCAGAGATTCATTTCAAGCTTTCTATATCTACATATCTTTCACAGCCACACATCTGCTGTAAATATGGAATTTATCGGCTCACACCTTCTCGTACCTCCCCCACAAAAGGTTAAAATTATAATTAATTATTATTTCAAAAAAATTGGTAATTGATGTCTGATTTTCTTCAAATTTTAAACATTCCAATATTTTTATCAATATTTGATGAAGGGGAATACTATGTCCGATACCTCACGCACATTTCAACATTTTCCATTTTCATGTGTCACATGAATAAAGTAGTCGATATAGTCCAAATCAGGCACGTTGTAATATTAATGTCAGATTTATTTCAGTTGAGCAGTGGATAATATTGGCCCACACCTTCGGTATCTTCTCCATAAAGGGTCACATTGATAATCATAATGTAAGTCAAAATGTATTTAATAAACTGGTATAGGCTTAGGGTATATACATATCTGTCGGCAAAGACGACAGATGCTTTTTAACTGGGTTTTTCCAGAAATTAGAATGGGATGGTTTATTTATTATACCCTCCACCATACTATGGAGGGTATATTAATTTTGTCATTCCGTTTGTAACTCCTCGAAATATTCATGTCAGACCCAACAAAGTATATATATTCTTGATCAGCGTAAAATTCTAAGACGATTTAGCCATGTCCGTCTGTCTGTCTGTGTGACTGTCTGTCTGTCTGTCTGTCTGTCTGTCCGTCTGTCTGTCTGTTGTAATCACGCTATCTTTCGAACAAATTGAGATAGAAGGCTAAAATTTTGCACACATGTATTTTTTCCCAGTAGGCAGGTTAAGTTCGTAAATGGGCCATGTAGGTCCAAGTTATCATATAGTCCCCATATAACGGTACCTCCCGGAATTATTCAAATTTGGCATTTGAAGTTTGTAATGGATGCTACAGCCTAAGACAGAAAATTACCTGTGCAGGTCCACGTCTTCCTGTAGGCCCCATATAACGGTACCCTCCAATATTCGGTTTTTTGATGATTTTAGCGACATTGTTTACCGGAATCGTTTCAAATTTGGTATTTGAAGTTCGTAATGGATACTACATCCTAAATCAAAAAATGAGCCATGTAGGTCCACGTCTTCATATAGCCCCCATATAACGGTACCCCCGATATTCGGTATTTTAATGATTTTAACGACGTTATTTACAGGGATTGTTTCAAATTTCGTATGTGAAGTTCGTAATGGATACTTCAGCCCATGCCAGAAAATTGTCTGTGCAAGTCCACGTCTTCGTATAGCCCCCATATAACGGTACCCCCCATATTCGGTATTTTGACGATTTTAGCTACATTATAAACAGATTTTTCTTCAAGTTTCGCATTTAAATATTGTAATAATTTATGACAAAAGTTGCCTATGCAGGCCCACGTCGTCGTATAAGCATTAGGTATTTTTAAGATTTTAACAGAATTTTTAACGGGTTTTATTTTTTGGAAATTGCCAAATTTGTACCAAATGGTGGAGGGTATTAAAAGTTCGGCCCGGCCGAACTTACAGCTTTTTTACTTTTTTTTTAATAAATTCAAAACAATACGATTCTAAATTCTATGTGGATTCTTCCCTATTATGTCCACAAATTAATTTCCAATATTATCTGAATAGAAGAAGATATTCCATAATTCTACGATCATTAATAATTTATTTGTGCTAAAAGAAGGACCAGGTTAAAAACTTTTTAGAGTGGAAATAATTTTGCGGGAATATTCATGAACTTGCATCTGAAAAAATATTTTTTTTTTTAACGGATGAAATTTTGCGGCAATATTCCTGATTCAAAACTCACACAAAAACATAAAAGTGGCTTTTTTTCAAAATCTATCTGATAAAAACATTTTGAACCCTGTCAGACTACCGTTACCCAAAAAAAACAAAAATTGTATGTCTTATTTACATTCCACTTCAAAAATATGGTCATTTGAAACCTATAATTACCCCTACTTCACTTTCATTTTCAATTCAACACGATAGCATTATCAAAGAAATGGAGCAGAAAACAGTGGGAGGAACTTCGTTTCAAATTTCTGTTTCTGTATTTCTTTGGATTAATTCAACTACAAACGAAACGCATTCAAAACCGCTATTCGAATTCAAAAGAGCATGACAAAAAAATATAAATGATTTAGGGTTAAGCAACAAAAAAAAACCATGGTGGATATATTTAAATTTGAAAAGCAGACAGATAGCCGACGACCGTCAAACTACCTGTCTTACAGAAGCTGGAAAAGTCAGTCTTTTTAGAGGTGGAGGAGGAACAGAAAAAAAATATTTCCGGTTTAGAAGGAAAAAAACCAAACCAATGGAACCCATTATGTTTGTTTGCGTTTTTTTTTTTCTGTTTTTTTTTTTGCTTCTTCTACGACGAGTTTGTGCTGCCACATCTGGTGGGTAGGAAAATTTTTCGGAAAGTGAAAGTGAAATATAAGATGTCTGCATAGAAAAATCGTGGCCAATAATGATGAAAAGTCATCATTAGTGCTGGGGTATTATCTAAATTAATAAGGAAAAAAATTAAGCCACAAAATATGAGGGCACTTTTTTGGTTTTTTTTTTACTTCATTAAGTCTTGTGAGGTAATAAAGTTTTTTTTATTGCAGTGTTTCTGTTTCTTTTTTTTCAACACACACGATTACTTAATTTGAAACTCACTTTTGAAGTTGTTTTTTTTTTTTTTGGTTTTTAGTGGTTGAGAGATGGCCTCAGGGGGAATTTTACGCAATCTTTTGCTGGCTGTTGGTGTATTGGTGTCACACAATGTGTTAATTATGTTTTTTTTTCTCCCGGTATTTTTGTGAATTTAGTTTTCCAAGGGGAGTTCTTTTTTTTCAAAAACTGAACTTTTGTTAGTTTGGCTTTTCTTTATTTCCACATTAAATTTAATTTTTGGTTTGTTTTTTTTTTCGTATTATTTTCTTGTGCGTTATTTCACTTGTTAATTTGTTGAGGTTTCGGGCCAAACTAACCGATGTTGCGGCATTGAAAATATATTTAACAAAAATTCACTTCGCAGCACCTCAAATGTCTGGTTGTTGGTATGGATGGCAGGCAGGCAGGCAGGCTAGGTAGCAGCTAGTTGGCTGGTTGCCGCCGTTGGCTCTCGGCTCAATTGTACGCTACCATATAAACAGACAGACAAACAAACAAACGAAAAAAAGCCACTCAAAAATGCTCACAAACAAAAATCCACTCAAATAGGAGGAGAAATTATTGGGAACTTAAATAATTTTACAAAAAAAAAACGATTTTGAGTATTAATAGACAAAAGCCAGAGAGAAGTCATATTTTAACTCATATTTTGGGGGGAATTTGGGGCTTCAAACAACCCATAATTATCTTGAAGTAATTGATGGCAAGCTCTTTTTTTTTTGACAAATCTTGTATTTTATTTAGATTTTTTTCTTCGTTGACGTTAACTAGCCAATTAGAATAACAACAACAGAGTGTCACTAACGCTGACCCAAGTTCAAACCCCAAATTGTATTTAAGAACAATAAACCAGACTAGGTGCTGCATAACGAGGTACAAACGCAGGGTATATATTTAAATGATTTATTACACGAAATTTAGAATATTTCAAATTACGTTTCAGCTACTCGATTGCAATATTCAGCGAAAATTTTTTTAAATAATTCTTATAAATAAATATTGACAGAAGCCAAGTAAGAAGGCAATAAGTTCAGTCGGGTCGAATTTTGAATACCCTGCACCATTGTGGAAGGAATTTGAAAATTTTCCAAAAAAATAAAATTCTGTTAAAATCTTAAAAATACCAAATATAGCCGTTATATTGGGGTCTATACGAAAACGTGGACCTGCATAGACAACTTATGTTGTAAGCCATTACAATATTCAAAAACGTAACTTGAAAAAAAATCTGGTGAATAATTTAGCTAAAATCATCAAAATATCGAATGTAGGAAGGTATCGGGGCTATACGAAGACCTGAAAATTTTTTGTGTCGCATGCTGTAGTACTTATTAGGAACTTCAAATACGAAATTTCAAACAATTTCGGTGAATTTTGTCCCTAAAATCCTCAAAATACAGAATATAGGGAGGTACTGCTATATGGGGTCAGTACGAAGACCAGGACCTGCATAGACAATTTTACCTGCATTTTGGTGTAGCCCCCATATAACGGTACCACCCGATATTCGGTATTTTGATAATTTTAGCGACATTATTTACCGGAATTGTTTCAATTTTGGTATTTAAAGTGCGTAATGGATACTTCATCCTAAGACAGAAAATGAGCCATATAGGTCCACGTCTTCGTATAGCCCCCATATAACGGTACCTTCCGATATTCGGTATTTTGATGATTTTAGCGACATATTCACCGGAATTGTTTCAAATTTGGTATTTGAGGTTCGAAATGGATACTATAGCCTAAGACAGAAAATTTCCTCTGCAGCTCCACGTCTTCGTATAGCCCCCATATAACGGTACCTTCTGATATACGGTATTTTGATGATTTTTGCGAGATTATTCACCGGAATTGTTTCAAAGTTGGAGAAGGGCAATATCGACCCACTCCTTGTGGTACCTACCCCACAAAAGGTCGAAATTTTCAAAAATATATATTTTCTGCACAGAAAGAGAAACGATAGCCCGATTTTGCTCCAACTTTGCAAATCCAAATATTTGCGTAAGTGCTGAATCAGGTGCGAAAATGGACAATATCGGTCCACCCTATCAAATACCTCCCCCACAAAGGGTCATCATTTTTAATGATTACAACGCTTATCAAATGTGATGTAAGGAGTCCGACTGCCTTCAAATTTCACACATTCCATTATTTTTACTAACACAAGATGTGTTGTGAAGATGGGATATGTCGGTCCTCTCCTTCTGGTACCTCCCCCTCACAGAGGGTCAAAATTTTGAATATCCATGGATCTCATAAAACGCGAAATTAACATCCGATCTCATTCAGACTTGGCACATCTCAATGTTTCCATCAACACAAGATATCTTATAGAGATGGTAAAGATCAGACCATTTCTTCTGGTACCTCTCCCCATAGGGTTCAAGATTTTGAGAAATCAAACGCTCAAAGTAAGCCAAATAAGCATTCAACTCTCTTCAAATTTCACACATACAAACATTTTTGCTAACACAAGATTTGTTGTGAGGATGATATATAGCTGCGAACCCTTTCTGGTACCTCACCCACAAAGGGTCAAAATTTTACTTTTATCTGTCATAACTTACGAAACACTTCAGCGATTCTTTACAATTTACTATATCTAAATATTTATCTCAACCAGAAACTTGGGATGAATATAGATTTTATGATGAAGTTACCAATAGAGACCAAACCTGGCATGTCGCAAAGATTTATATCGTATTTATTTAGATCCGATATGAAATGGAAAATATTGGCCTATTCCTTCAGAACCCACTCCATACAGGGTCAAGAGTTAGAATAATCAAAACAGATGTCAAAATATATTTATTAAATAATCGAACATTGGCTGGGGGTATACTTCTGTCGCCAAAACCGACTAATATTTTTAAAATTGTTTATTTTTTACAAGTTTAGAACTATGTCTGTAATAGTGCTATAAAATTTCTTGCTTACAATATCCGTACCTTGTTAATTTTAAAATATATTAAAATAAAACTTTCTAATATTAAATCAATTCTAATAATAATATTCAACGGTATACCATGACCTATTGGATTTGCGTGTAGAAGCACCTTAACAAACTTTATATTAATAACTTCATATTTTATTAATCTCTAATAAGTGTTTAAAAATAAAAAATGCTTAGAAAAGTTATTAAAAAAAACTAAACGACAACACAAACAGAAAGTGTGTGACTTGTGGTGACATCTTCCAATTTTTTAATGGTCTGAGCGCGTTCCCATTTAATTGGAGTGAATTAATGGCATTTTTATAGTAGGTATTTGAATGTATGGAGGCAATCTAAGTAAATAAGTGAAAATGCACCAAAACAATTAGTCTTGAGGCTATGTTTCAATGTCGTCACACAGAAGACATAATTTCACTCAAAAAAGAGAAAAACATGTAATATGTTACATTATTTTATAATTTTTCCGATTTTATCCTACAATATGCAACATATTTTTTTATACCCTCCACCATACTGTGAAGGGTATATTAACTTTGTCATTCCATTTGTAACTCCTCGAAATACTCATGTCAGACCCAACAAAGTATATATATTCATGATCAGCGTAAAATTCGATGTCGATTTAGCCATGTCCGTCTGTCTGTCTGTTGTAATCTTTCGAATGAATTGAGATAGATGGCTAAAATTTTGCACACATGTTTAGTTTTCCAGTAGGCAGGTTAAGTTCTTAAATGGGCCATGTAGATCCACGTTTTCATATAGCCCCCATATAACGGTACCTCCCGATATATGGTATTTTAATGAATTTAGCGACATTATTCACCGGAATTGTTTCAAAATTGGTATTTGCAGTTCGAATTGGATACTACACCCTAAGACAGAAAATTGTCTGTGCAGGTCCACGTCTTCATATAGCCTCCATATAACAATACCTCCCGATATTCGGTATTTTAATGAATTTAGCGACATTATTCACCGGAATTCTTTCAAATTTGGTATTTGAAGTTCGAATTGGATACTACACCCTAAGACAGAAAATTGTCTATGCTGGTTCAGGTCTTCGTATAGCCCCCATATAACGGTTCCCCCCCTATATTCGGTATTTTAATGATTTTAGCGACATTATTCACCGGAATTGTTTCAAATTTGGTATTTGAAGTTCGAAATGGATACTACACCCTAAGACAGAAAATTGTCTGTGCAAGTCCACGTCTTCATATAGCCTCCATATAACGGTACCTCCCGATATTCGGTATTTTAATGAATTTAGCGACATTATTCACCGGAATTGTTTCAAATTTGGTATTTGCAGTTCGAATTGGATACTACACCCTAAGACAGAAAATTGTCTATGCAGGTCCAGGTCTTCGCACAGCTCCGATATAACGGTACCTTCCTATATACGATATTTTGATGATGATTCACCGTTTATTTCAAGTTTCGAATTTGCATATGGTAATGGCTTATGACAAACAATGCCTATGTAGGCCCACATCGTATACACCTCAATATAACGGCTATATTTGGTATTTTTAAAATTTTAACAGAATGTTTTAATGATTTTATTTTCTGAAAATTTCCAAATTCGTTCCAAATGGTGGAGGGTATTCAAAGTTCGGCCCGTCCGAACTTACTACTTTTTAACTTGTTTAATACATAAAAAGCTACTGTAATTACTGACTGACTGGCCTAGAATCAACGTCCAGACGAAACGGTTAAATGTAGAATCTTAAATTATTTCACAGGGGCCAGTCTTGGTGCGTAGGCGTGTGATAAGGTTGGGTTTTCGGAAATTCGTACTGAAATGGTACGAATAGTACTAAAATGTACATAAAATTCAATGCTTCTTTTCGGCCAAAATGGATGAGAATTGAATGAAATTTGGATTGAGCGTCACTGATAGATTGCAGGATAGATGTACCAATTATGTACGAAAATATCTAAAATGGAACTAAACCATTAGGTATCATGTGAACGTATAGAGGTAAAAACTGGAAATTCAGTATGGGAAACCGGATTGGAAAGTAAGTTCGATGTGAATGATGATACAATAAGGTAAGGTCGTTTTGGAAATGTGTACTAGGTGTGCAAACTGTACTAAATGGTACTAAATTTGGAACAGTTTGTTTTAGGATGAACGAATGGAGCTGGAACTTTGAAATTTTGTATTGTTGGTGGTAGCTTTGTGATAAAGTTGTGGCTTTTTTGAAATGTGTACTACAAGTGCACGAAAAGTACTAAATAGTACTATATTTGATAACATTTGGTATTGGGTGAACAGAATGTGCATGAAATCTGAAATTTTGTATTAGGGTCGCTGTTTATGTATAATCTGGTCATAGGGAGCTGGTTTCGGAAATGTGTACTATAATTGCGTGAAAAGCACCGAGTGGCACTATATTTGGTATAGGGTGAAGGGATAGACACAAAAATTCTGATATTTGA